GTGACGAAGATCATAGGTCACCATTTTCGACCAATAGCGATCATTGTTTATGATCAAGGGAGTGTCAGCGGAATTAATCAATTGTGATGATATGACACGTTGTGCCTTCTTTTCTCGAACGCACAGTACTAAGTATGCTAATCTCTTGTCGTTCGAGAATACTTGCGTGAAGGATGAGTAATGCGTACTGTCTTTATTATCTTGTACTGTGCGTTCGAGAAAAGAAGGCACTGCGTGTTTACATCTTCACGGCTGACTAACTCCGCTGACACTCCCATTATGAAAGATAGTATAACCACTGTTGGCTGAAGACAGTGATTGATGATCTTCGTCACCGTTTTCAACCAATAGCGGTCACTGTGATCAAGCATGTGTCAGCGGAGTTAATCAGTCTTGAGTAAACCGCTGTGCCTTCTTTTCTCGAACGCGCAGTACATGCCCCGTTAAGGCCCCTCGCCGAGTCTCACGCTGTTCGTAACCATTTTAAGCAAAAGTACTGTATCGCTTGTGTTTCTGCGAAGTAAATCTGGCACAAGTTCATCTTCAATTTATTCCTTTTCCACATAATCCTTCGAGAGTTTCGATGGCGACACACTGGCTGCCATTGCTCGTTTGCTATCGCGTTCATAGGTGCGATAAAAAGGTGCAGCCTGCAATGTTAACGAGGCTAATTAACTTTTATCGAATCGCTTCCGGAATTTTGATAATGATTTTGATAATTGTAATTGAATTGCATCGCGGTCTTCCTGTTGTTGGGTCCTTGAGACTGTTCATGGTCATGGAACATTGGTTCAGGATATCGTATCGAGGAATTGAGGGTTGAACTCTTGCAGGCAGTGAACATTTATGGATGCTTTTAGCGAAATTAGTATTGGCTTTTATTGAGGCAGAAATATAATTTGTGTACTCTTATTTATTTTTCGTCGTTCGAGTTGAACTTCCTTCAAGTTGCAAGATGCTGCTGGTTGAAATATTGAAATTGCCGCGCAGCAGATATAATAATCTAACCTAACTTCTGTCATAAAACAATTTTCAAGTAATATTTATCAATATATATATATTCGTATAATAAATCATTGGAAATAATAAACAGGGAGGAATTCTTGGAATAAAGAAAATATTAAATAATATCAGGAAATATCAGAAACTGTTAAAAATCGATAGAAATAGTGACTGAAATAATAAAATTATTTTTAAATACATACACACGTATATTACTATTATATTATATGCACGGCAATATATACATGGCACTGATTTAAGAATTAAAAATTATGCCATATATGTGACGGTATTCGTCGAGAAAGGGTAGATTATTATTATTATTTTTGTATACTATAATTAATATATACATGACAATATATACATGGCACTGACTTAAGAATTAAAAATTATGCCACATATAGCACGGTATTCAGCGAGAAAGGGTAGATTATTATTATTATTTTTGTGTACTATAATTAACGACACGCTTTAGCTAGTTTTAATTGTGCGAGTGTTAATTATACTCAAATATTTATTTCCATATATTTTCCTGTAATAAAATAACAAAATTCTGCCTCAAAAAAGATTTTTCAATCTTGAAGCTATCACAGAACGGAAAAGATAAATTGGACTAAAAATTCGTTTATTTTATGCCAACTATTCGCTTACAATTTATGCTAACGATGTAAAGTTTGCGATACAAGACCAGCGAAACGTTAATCGTTATAATACTTCCGTAAATTAATTATCAAGCGAATACCGTTAGTCGAATACTAAATAGTAGATGGAACACCGATGATCCAACCGGTACCTTTGGACCGTGACGATGTCGCGAGATCGTATTGGAGGGAGACTTTTCTCTGAATTGAGTTACTGATAATTATTCCGCAACATTTAACTCGGAGAAGAACCGTAACTAGATTTATCCGCTGCCGAAGGAAGATCTGTTTCCGGATTGCCGTCGAAGTTAACTTCCTTTACATCGAAATCGGTTTCTTCCACGTTAATCGCGTCCTGTCGATCTTAAATTAAGTATTAAATTCCCGGCAAGGGATGATTGCATTAAAAAATCCTGAAATTGAAACATTCGCGCCGAAGTCGCGTGAGAAGTCCTGGGAAATCTGTGAAAAACTTTTGTGCCCAGCTTCCATCGCGAAATAACTTGCCTTTGTTCAACGAACTGCGATCACGTCGACTAATATCTTACAAGATTATTCGTTAAGTGCATAGGTAATCACGAAAGTGGTCGAAATTAAAAGAAAGGAATAATTTTATTATTTATTTGCTGTCTTATTTATTTATATTACAGTAAAATAAAATTATTTTGAGGAAAATAAGGAAAAATTGAATATTTTGACAGGTGAAATTAAGTTTTTGATTTATTATATATCTGAAATACGAAATTTTTGGTATTTCGAAACGGAACTTATGTCAATTGGACTACTTGAGTTTGACGATGAAGTTTGACTAATATTTTAGAAGATTATTCGTTAAGTGTACAGGTAATCATGAAAGTGGTCGAAATTAAAAGAAAGGAATAATTTTATTATTTATTTGCTGTCTTATTTATTTATATTACAGTAAAATAAAATTATTTTGAGGAAAATAATGAAAAATTGATATTTTTATGGGCGAAATTAATTTTTCGATTTATGTTATATCTGAAATACGAAATTTTTGGTATTTCGAAACGGAACTTATGTCAATTGGATCACTTGAGTTTGCCGATGAAACAGGAAATAATTGAGTTCACGCGTGAACGGATGAAAATCGACGTGTGAAAATTTTATATTACCGTGCAAATATTTTATGTTGATATTCGAAATGAAATATAATTAATTATTCACGCTTGGCGGAGTGCGACGGTAAGTTGAAGCGAGATTTATTGGAAAGAATCACAAACAGGGTGGCTGAATGGGGATCAAAAGTGAGCCACTCGATATTTCACTCAAAACGATGAAATTTGTCGAATCTGTTTGCGACCTAAATATTTGCCATCTTCGAGCCAAACAAGCATTATTTATTTTTGTTTTATTGCAAAATAGCGAAAAAATATGTTCACTCAAAGCTGCGAATTTCGTTCTCTGTATTTTGTATGATTTACGAGTGCTTCTTTCACACTGTATAATAATTTTTACATATTTGACATCGTGACATAAGTTCTATGTATTATGGCATTGAATTTGCAATATACGAATAGAATTTAAATTTTAATTGAAAATAATATATTACAGGAAAATTTTTGTGATACTGTTGTTTTATAAAATTGGTTGGATAAATTGGTAATAAATCAGGAATGAGTCTAATTTATTTCTTATTTTCGATTTTATGTATTTTAAGGGAAATGGAAAGAGAGAAATATTATTGTAGAATTTTGAAATATACTTTAGGTTAATAATATTCATAGGTTCATTTAGTTCGCTGAAGTTATTCGCTAATACACGTTAAACACTATTGTTGAGTATCGTAAAATTTTATTTTTTTGCGGGAGAAAAAGATGCAATTACGTGGAAGAAAGTAGGTCGCTTTATAAACCTCTTGTTATCCATCGCTGTAATATACGATCGATGATTTCTATCTGAGTCTTCTACGATCTAGATATTGTCGACAGCTGTCGATAATCGTAGGCTCTTGTTATTTCCAAGCTGGTCTTTATGAACCCAGGACTTCGTCTATTCCTTTCCGAACTATGCTTTCTCTCCTTTCGCATTTCAATTAAAATTGAATCCTCCATTTTTGGAATTAACAATCTTCGGGCTTCGAAAATTTATATATTTATAAATCTAAAAAGTTGAAGATATTGGAAATTCTAAAGTTAGAAGATGTGAAAAATGGGAAATTAAAAAATTTTGAATATCTTTTGTATGAAATTTAGAAAATTAAAAATCAGGTGGACTGAAAATACGAATATTCGAAGATTCGAAAAAGTGAAAAAATTGGAAATTCGAATATGTGTAAGTATGAAAATTGGAAGGTTAAAAATTCGAAAATTTGTATAATCGTAACTTCGGCAATTAGGGAATTCGAACATCCGAAAATTTGAAAAATTCCAATTTCGAAGATATGAAACTTTGAAAATTTAAAAATCGGAAGGTGGAAAATTCTAAAATTGAAATAATCGTGACTTGAGAAATTGAGAAATTGGGAAACTCATCCGAAAATTTAAAAAATTGAAATCTCAAAGTTAGGAGCTTTGAAAATTTGCAAATTGGAAAATTCTGAAATTTGGATAACTGTAACATCGGAAATAAATTCGGAATTCGCACATCCGAAAATTCCAATTTCGAAGATACGAAACTTTGAAAATTGGAGACTTGAAAATTCGCGTATTCGACCATTCGAAAATTTGGAAAATCCCGAAATTAAAAAATTTATCAATTAAAAAATCGACCATTCTTTAAATCGAAACACTATATATGTCAACCTTTACAAATTTCACAGCACGCGAATTCGAACGTACATTACCCCGTTCACTTAAACGGCTGAACAAGAAAGCATTGGTTTCACGTTTCTTTCTAATATCTTCTGCAAGCATACACCACACGCATACCAGCATGAAACAGACATAGCCTAAGAGGCACCCTCCCGAAAGGGTTCGTATTTCCGACACTATTTCCGGGGAATCGATATAATACATTTCTTTTGCCGGCTGCGAAGGGAAGACGGCTGAAAGCGGTGCAGACGAATGAAACTTCTTGTCGAGAGGGAAAGGCAAAGAATCCCGTGGGATGAAAGAGGGAAAGAACGATCCTCTCTGGAGATGCTCGAAGGTCAGGGGTGCTTTTTCGTCGACGCCGCAACCGAGTTAGAAGTTCGATTTCTCTTTCAATTCTTCCCTTCTCTCTTTCTCTCTCTCTCTCCCCTGGCCATCTCCTACGTGCCTTTGAATTTTGAATACAACCCGAACGGGAAGAAACTTATTTCGTGCTGGACAAAAAGGGTCAATAATTTCGATAAAATCTCGGCGAACCTGGGATACGTATTGGTTAATCGCTGCTGCTTTTTTCGTGTTCCAGAATTCCAGTGGCCAGGAAGCTCCGTCGAGGAAGAAATTACGTCGGAGGGAAGTTCTGCTTCGGCTGTAAAACGGTGAGTGTTTGAAGTACGCCCAGGGAAGTTGATTATACCTTCTAGATTCGAGTCGAAGACTCTTTGCTCGACTTTTTGTCCGTTCGTGCATTAGACCGGGTACTTTCTATCGATTTACCGATCGCCGGCGATTTTTAAGCAGGTGTTTTTCCAATTTTTCTAAGAAATTTTCGTTTTAATTCCGTTTAATCTATTAACCAATAATGGATACTAATTACAGATAGCCCTCCTACAACACGGCATCCTATAACATGGTTTCGCTATAGCACGATTCATAAACTCTGGGAACCCTTCTACAACACGACATCCTATAACACGGTTTCGCTCTAATACGATAAGAAAATTGCAAAAATCTTTGTACAACACTGTACTTCTACATGAGCAGTGACGACGAAGAAATTTATTAAATTAAAGTTGTGTTAAAGTAAAATATTTGTCCCTTTTTTAATACAAATTAAATTGTTTATGTAGAATTGAGAAAGAATTCGTTTTTAGTAAGTTTTCGGAACGTAATCCCCCTTTTTGTACTGGCTCTGGGTCTCATATAACACGGTTTCACGGAACACGACATTTTCGAGGAACCTATCTACCATGTTATAGGAGGGTTACCTGTATTTAACGTTTATAGAACAAGTATGAATAAAATAGCAATACAGTTAAGTCGAAGGTGAAGACATCGATATTTCGTAGGTTACTATTTATGTAGGGGATATGTATTAGTAAAAGAAAAATATATATGTTAGGTTTTAAAATATATTTATTACGAGGTAAAGGGATGTTAAAAGTAAAGTAATAATTATGCATAATGAAATTGCATCAATTTTATGACTCCTCTTTTTTATGACTGGCTCTGCTTTATAGTTTGATCGCCTTTTATTTTGTCACACACACGGACACTATGCACTCATATGACGAATCCCAAAAATCTCATGTACGTTCCAAGAATTCGTTCATCTTTCTCTCATAATCTAATTTCAATATCCACTCAATCCGCTCTTCATTCCCACCAATAATTGTTCGAACTATCGCCCATATATTTATTTTAATTAAATTTATAATATATTTATTTCGATCGCAATAAAATTCTATTAGCTTCTGTGTAGCTCTATTAGCTAGATGTTTATAGAAATTCTATAAAATTTTTATAATTTTATAGAAATTTTTCTATAAAATTGAAGTTTATAAACTTAAATTATAAAGTTATAGTTTAATATATAAATTTATAAAATTAATTCAATATGAATTTCTCCACGAAATTATTGACATCGATAACCTGAACCAAAAGTTCATCGTCAGATTTCTAAGTACCCCATCATCCACAGGTGTTCGAACCTCGAATTTTCAAAAGCCTCTCGAAAAATTCGCCAACTCGAAACCTGGTTTTAAAAATCCTCGTTTTCGCATAATCTAATCTAAATAGATAGATAGATATTTATTTCTTGCTGTATACAGTTTAAGAATTACATCTCCATATTCTATACTGCACATAACCTTACTGTATTTAGGTATTTATGTATATGTACACGTATAATCCTAGTCTTAGTCGTTGTCTTGCTTCTCTACTCTGTTTTCTTGTCTGTCCTCTGTCTTTTTCCTCAAAGTCCTCTCGAAATCTCTAATATATTTGCATATTTCGGGGTCGATTTCTCCTGTTATCAGCCTTCTCCAGTTATTATTCTTTCTCTCGTTAATCTAATCTAAATATCCACTCTTCATTCGCTCCGATAATCGTTCGATCTATCCCCCATATATTTATTTCAATTAAATTCATAATATATTTATTTCGATCGTAATAAAATTCTCTAAGCTTGCATTTATAATCTAATATAAAAATTTATAGAATTAATTCAATGTAAATTTCTCCACGAAACTCTTGACACCGATAACCCGAACGAAAAGTTCATCGTCAGATTTCTAAGAATCCCATCAGCCACAGTTGCTCGAACTTCGAATTTTCAAAAGCCTCTCGAAAAGCTCGCCGGCACGAAACAACCTGGTCTTAAAAATCCCCCTTCCTCTCTGGCTGGCTTACAAATGGACCGTTTCAGCGAAGATCTCGAAGATGATTTTCAGTTCGTTAAGCCCCCTTGTGCATCAGGGTCAAGAGACCAACGCCGAGCATTATATCTCCGCTTGGTAGTCGCGTTCTCGCCTCGATAACACTATCCTACTGTTCCTCGAGCACCCACCCCGATGCTTTATCATTCATTCCGTGCCACGGATTTATTCCAAGATACCTTCGTATCATCTTGGGTTCATTATCAAACCACTCCCGGCTCTTTCTTCCCGCCAGTTTCTACCCTGCTCGCTACATTCGTCGTTCCTTTGTCCATGCAAGGGAGATCCCGTGGCTCGATTTATGAAAACGAGCGATACGAGGGTAAGCTCCGTGGTTATTTACCTCTGGAGAATTATAATGGCTGGCTCGTTGCAGCAGCGAATAAGTGGCTTCCGTGAAATAATGCCGCCACGAAAAAGAGTATCGCCGAGCCTCCCCTTGGCACGTTGCGAATGAATCAGTCGCCTCTAAGTTGAAATTCGAGCAGTTTGATGGAAGAAAACGCGAAGAAAACGCGAGGAAAATCGCGAGGAAAATGGGAAGACAACGGAAGAGTTCGAGGGAAGTCGAGAGTGATTTTTCTGGGTTCGAAGTTTCGATGTTTCGAGGGAAAAGGATCGTTTCGAGGATCGTACTTGAGGGATGATCGTGACGGGATTAACGAGAATGGATATCTCTTTGGGAAATTCTGATTAAGTTTGTTCTTCCTTTCACGTTTTGGCTGGAACACGGGGCGAGTTGTAAGACGAAACTTCGTGGCTGGTTGAAACGATCATTTGGTGAGTATTCCGTCGAGTTTAACACAAATTACTTCGCCTTACTTCGTGTCAGTTTCAGTCTGATTGAACCATCTTTCACGTGTCGAATTATTAAATTTAATTTTGGAATTAATTGCCGTTCTTTTGTAACATAAATTACAATCTCTTCAGAAATTTACTTTCTACGCGAAAAAATAAGTGGAAAATGTAGAATAACAATTTTTAATTCGACGCTGTGGTTTCGAGGAAATCTAGTTGAAACATTTGCGGGGTGTGCATGCGCTAACTGCGACTCCATCTAGGGGATTTCGCTATTATCTCCACTCGCATTTGTCTTCATAAATATTTCACAATGTAACGAGTTACTTTACGTCACTTTAGATCCTAACACCTTATTTTTCTTGTCGTAAATGGTCAGATTCTATCAATCTTCCGCCATCTTTGCAGCATGGCACCAACCGTGCACCACCAAATATTCAAACTCAATTATTTTTTAAACGATGTCATATATAATAAAATTTTATTCTACATTTTCGACTCATTTTTTCACGCGGAATCGATCCTTCCAATTTTATTTGTAAAATAATTTCAAACTAGAAGATATTAGTATCTAATTTAGTTTTTCCTCTCGCCATGAATTTTTTTAAAAGTTTTCATTTAAAAGTCCAGACAAATTCTAAGCTCCGCTATTTCAGACAAAAATATCACTTCGAACAGAGCTTATAATCAGTGAAACTAAACATCTCGGTGTAAAAGAGACCAATTCGATCACCGAAACCATTCGATTCCCGCGAATTAGCGAACTCGAGAAACCCAGATAGCCATAAAGACGTTCTACAGTGTGGCTTCGATCAATTTGTTTGATGCATAGTTTCGTTCGAATCAAGATACACATCACGATTCGGGTCGTTAAAACAATTATACGTCCAAGTTTGTGATCCCGGGCGTTCCGCCGGGAGAGAGTGAAACGGCTGTTGCACGTTGCAAAAGGGGTGCAATATGAAATTCTCCGGCCCAGGTTTGCGGATTTCCCTTTGCCCATGCCTGATAACCGTCAAGTCCGCGATCTTGGGCGAGTCTTGACGCAAGTTATGCCATATTTCGAGTTTGTACACCGCGAACATCGTCCCTGTGCTCCGCGACAACGTTGTTCCTCGTGGCAACGCAGTTTCTAATTGCTTAGGACAGTTTAGTTCGGTCGGGGATTGTGTCCGCGGCTCGTGGACCATGATTGGGAGATTGGGACAGGAGAGTGACGTGGGTGTCCGGGGTGAGTTATTCCTCCAATTTCAGAAGTTTTGATGAAATATTTTAGGTCCGAACCAGCGTTCGTAATGGGCATCAGTCAACGCTAAACCTACTGCTATTGGTTATTTGGTTGGCCAAGTGACTTTTGTGGTAGAGAGAGTGGATTGTGCATGAATTTCACGAGGTAAGGAACCTAACTCGTTGCATACCACTTCATTGTTATTTCATATAAGGTATAACTTTCTTGTAGTATATATATTTAGATAGTTAGATATTATATAAAATATTAGGTGGTATTCGACAATTTTGAAGATATTTTATTATTTTTGGGGATTTAATAATTTTAAAGACGTGAGGAATTGAAGTTACACAGCAAGGATGTGAGATATAAAGGAAATAAATTAAAATAATTAGGATTTCAAATAAAAATTGGGAGTTTTTGAAAGAAATATACAATTATATAGCAGAATTTTTAAATTATCTACACTCTTTTTATTATATACACTTCTATTATAGTTTCATTTGTTATTTTATTATACAATTTGTGATTTCACATTGATTTTGCCAAATATCTTCGGTTTTTGCATTTAATTAGGATAACGTGGCAATTGATGATGGGAAGATATGTAATTTGTGCGAACTTACTCAGTTGTTGATCAATCGTCACCTATGGGAGTCGTATCAGTATCACGGTACCACAGTACTAAATCAATTGTGATTTATGATGGTGTATAAATTCTGGTCCATATATTCGATAATTTCAGCAGTGAAGGATAATTTGTCACTTATGATATAACACTAGTTGTAAAAGTCCAACTACGGATACCGATTCTAATTCGATCTCTAGGGGTTCCACTTTAGATTTAATTCCTCGAAAAGTGGATTCGGTTATTGCTTTTCTGATGCCAGAAAATCTGAAATAGAATGGATTAGTA